CCACCCTAGCAGTCCCCAGTCTCTCTGCCATGCTATCTGTCCCCCTCTGCAGCACTCTTCCTTCTCTTTACTCCCCAAATGAGCCGCTCACAGCTCCATCTCATGCCATGCCCTGCACTGCCTCAGCTGTGCAGCCTCTGCCGCAGCGCCAGTTCCTCTACCTCACTGTGAGGGCCTCAAACTGCTTCCCCCCTCCCCCCCCTTCCACCACAACAGACTTACCAGCTGAACCCAGCTGCTTTTCGCACTGCCGCACTGTGCTTCTGGCTGTGCTGCAGCTGTGCGCATGCACGGGGCATTTATCGGTCACATTATCAGCCTCATCGGCCAAAAAAAGCCAATTGTCGGTACTGTCACTTTTCCTTATGTCAGTGTGGTTCTGATATGGGACCGATGTATCGGTGCACCTCTAAAACTCATAATATGTCTGCAGTTCTAGTTTAACCTTAAAAATTGCTCGTTTCATTAGTTAAAGGTTTTGCTTTATCTTTTGTGCTTTGCAGATTAAATATATTTGATAAGAGGCCCACATTTTGAATTCAGTACAAAGTCAGGACTTGACAAATAAGCTGCAAAAATGATGAAAAGTAGAGTGGCACAAATGAATGTAAGTATTTTGAAAGCTTAGGGTTTTTGGTTATAGCCGTTTTGGTCTAAGGACATAGGCAGAGAAGATCTTTGGGTAGCTGTGACATATTTTCTTAGACAAATTAAATAGTTGGAAAAATTGTTCTTTGCAAGATTTTGGGCACAAACACCCTTTTTCAGGCAACAGAGAGAGTCTGTTGGTGTTTGTGTGCTCTCCTGTGTAGAATAGAAGCCAATATGTGAAATGCAAGTCTGTGAAAATGCAAATGCGTTGCAGTGAGGATCTGAGGAATTGGGAGACAGTAGGTGAGAGACAGGTTGGGGTTGGGGAGGAGGAGTGTTGAACTAATGGGGGTGGGGGAGGAGGAGTGTTGAACTAATGAATATAGCTAGTAAAATACAGACAGGTTATTTGCATTATAACCTGCCTGCCATATGATAACCCCAGGTAATCTGTCTGCATTTTACTAGCTACATCGGGTTTTTATGTGAATTTATTATGTAGGGGTCTGTCTTCTACTCTACATGCATACAGCATACCCAAACTTGAATAAAAATTATGACTTACATGAAGGAAAGAATAAATGCTGTAGTTGATAACCAAACAAACTCTTAAATGTTCATGTTTCTGTCTTTGCATCTGTGTTCTTGGACCCGATATAAATACACCTCCCAATGAAACTTTAGTCTGGCGTGAGAGAGATACCAGTCCACCAACAGTCAGTGCTGACCTAGTGAAGGGGCACTTGGAGGGGTTGGACATAATTAAGTCGGCAGGCCCTGAAGATCTTCACCCAAGGGTACTAAAGGAACTGGCGCAACTGATTGAGTGCTAGTGGCGCTCAGGACAGGTCCCAGAGGACTGCAAAAGGGCCAGTGTGGTCCCTACTCTGAAGAAGGAGGACCTGGGTAATTATAGGCTGGTTAGCCTCACCGCTATTCTTGGCAAGACCTTAGAAAAAATCATAAAGGATCACATTTGTGGGGGGCCAGCGGGTAAAGCAATGTTAAGGGGCAGCCAGCATGGGTTTATAGCAGGCAGATCCTGACTGACTAGCCAGGCCTCCTTTTATGACCAGGTCACAAAGTGCATAGATGCAGAAGTAGAGGTAGATGTTATTTACTTGGACTTTAAAAAGGTGTTCAGTTGGGTGGAAAACTGGCTTATAAGACAAACCCAGAGAGTGGTGGTGGATGGGTCAGTTTCTACCTGGAGAGATGTAGGCAGTGCTGTCCCCCAACCAGCTCTGTCCTTGGATCAGTACTGTTCAGTATCTTCAACAGTGATTTGGATGAGGGTGTAGAAAGCACACTATCCAAATTCACAGACCGCACCAAACTATGGGATACAGTAAACACACTAGAGGGAAGGGAGTGAATTCAGGTGGATTTGGATAGACTGGGGAAGTGGGCAAATCAGAATAGGATGTAATTTAACAAAGGTAAGTGCAAAGTACTGCACCTGGAGAGAGAAAATCACCAATAGATTTAGTAGACTGGGAAGTACCATTCTGAGTAGCACGGCAGTAGAAGGGAATCTTGGAGTCATAGTCGACGCAAAAATGAACATGAGTTGCCAGTGTGATGACATAATAAGTAAGACTAGCCACATGCTTTCTTGCATTAGTAGGTGCATCGCGAACAGGTCTAGGGAGGTGCCCTTTATGTGGCGTTGGTGAGGCCGCAGCTGGAGTGCTGCATCCAGTTTTGGGCACCGCACTTCAAGAGGGATGTGTATAACCTGGAAAGAGTTCGGAGGAGGGCTGCACATATGGTTGAGGGCCTCCGAGTAAGATCCTATGAAAACAGATTGAGGGACCTGAATCTCTTCAGCCACTGCAAGAGAAAGCTGAGAGGTGATCTTGTGGCTGTCTGCAAACTCCATTGGGAGGGTCAGCAGGGAATAGGAAATACTCTGTTTACAAAGGTGCCCCTCAGGTTTACTAGAAACAATGGCCATAAACTGAAGGAGAGTAGATTTAGATTGAACATCAGGAAGAAATTCTTTATGGTGAGGGCTGCCAAAATATGGAATTGGCTTCCAAGGGAGGTGGTGCTTTCCCCTACCTTGGAGGTGTTCAAAAGGAGATTAGACAAACACCTGGCTGGGGTTACTTGACCCAAGTGCTTGTTCCTGCCCAGAGCAGGGGGTCGGATTCGATGTAGTAGGTCCCTTATGACCTTAGAAATCCTATGAAATCTGTGAGTCTTATAAGCATCAGTTCTGTATGTGTTACCTGTACCATAACTTTTATTATTCATTTTGTTTTTCCTGGGTCTAGTACTGTTTAATCATGGCCTGTGAGGTTCAAACAAAGTACAGTCATTGCTAGTTGAGAATCTTCACTAATAATTTGGAGGATGGAACTGAATGCACATTTGCTATATAGAGTAAAATCTGTGTTAACTGGCATCTTAGTAACCAGCACTTCTATTAACCGGAATTTTTGGCTGGCTTGCTGGAAGCAGAGGGGGAGGGAAGAGAAGCTTGCATGTAGCAGCCACTGCTACCACCCACCACCCTGCACTGTTGCTGCTCTGCATCTGCCCCCAAACCCCTGCTCAGGTAACCGAGATTTTTATATAACTGGCGCACCGCGTTCCCCACTCATACTGGTCATCACAGCTTTTACTATATATTACTAGATTACTCTAGTTTGGGTACGTAGCAGATACTTTGGAGCGTAGGATTAAGGTTCAAAATGATCTTGATTAAATCAGAGCACTAACCAGGTGACATTCAAGAAAATATGTGCAAAGTACTTCATTTAGACATAATCAAATATACAGATTGGGAGAAGATAGAATAGGTTGCAGTTCTCCAAAGAAGAACCTGGTGATTATAGTGAACTATTAAATTAAATTTTAGTTAACAATATGCTGTTTTTTCAAAAGAAGTAAATACCTAGGGGTGCACCAATAAAGATTTTTTTGGGCCAATACCAATGTCTGATTATTAACGAGCCAAATCAGCCGATACTGATCCGATTGCCGATATGCAGCCCGGCAGCTTAGAGAACAGCATCTGGCTGGTAAGTCTGTTCAGGGGAAGGGCAAGGGCATGGGGAAGGCAGATTGAGGCACTATGGTGAGGGAGGAGAGGTACAGTGGGCTGCACAGCTGAGGCAGGGCGTAGGACAGAGCTGCAAATGGCTTATCTGGGTGGGGGGATGCCTCCCACTGCTCGGTGAACCCCTAGGGGAGGCATGGGGGGCAAGTGCCCCCTGGATCAGTGCGCTGGGTTACGGTGGGTTGGGGCCCGGGCTGTACTCAGGGTGGGCAGTGGCAGCGCTGCAAGGGGAGCTATGGGGGGGGGGGGGG